GTCATAAAACCTTACACCGAAGGAAGGAAAATTACTTGCCAAGGTAGTACCAAAACATAAAACATAGCAACTATGTGGATCCACTAGCTAGTATTTCTATAGGGGCAACATAGTTCAAGAACTAGGAGATATAGTTGCGACCCTCTTTATGATACATGCATTGTAGTCTACAATCTCAAGAGTATTGTAGTGCTCCTACCTTCCCTATGTGGGAAGGGACACTTCTCAATCTAGTTCACTCGGTGCTAAGCTAGAATCCCTTTTTGAAATGTCTATAAGTCTTTAATTATAAATCATAACTTAGTTTAGGTCATAGGGTCTAGCCCTTTTATAATCATCATCATCAATAGCTCAATAAGAATTGTATGAGTATAAGTCCTTTCATTACAATTCATATAAGAGAGGTTAACACATTAGCATTTCATATAATAATAATTCACATGGATCGTCGTCACCATCCTTATAACGCATACACCTTAATCAACCTCACAACATAGTCAAGCATTTCAATTCAACATTATACCATCTTATCAATCCTAATACAAGGATTACCCCAATATAACATCATGAATTAACCACAATTAATCACAATTGGAAGTAAAGATAGAGATCATGAGACTTACCAAGTCTCCTTCATAGTTCATCATTTAGGCCTTACTATAAACCCTAAATTCAATCCAATTTAGATGTTCCACATCATAATTCAATAATGAACATGATAACAAGACTAGAAAAGTCACTACACCATAATTCAATACTAAATCGAAGCTTAAGAGAAGATACTTAGGTCAATTCTCATAACCTAGATTACTTCTTAAGAACTAGTATAAAAGGCTACAAATCATATTAATTTGTTCATGATTAATTTAAAAACAAAATCTAATAGTGATTTAACTAATAATCAAGTCAATTTAATCAATCACAACCCAATTCACATCAAGATCAAACATAGGGTCAAGGATCATACTCTTCAATTTAGACCAAACCATCACAAATTATCAAAATCGAGTTAATATACATGTTAATATATTCTTTATACCCTAAATAAATCATAAAAAACTCAGTTCATAACATCAAATTCGTAATTGAATGAAACCCACTTGAAAACTCAACTTTTGGAAATACTTTGATGGAGCTCTTTGACTAAAGAAGTCTCAAAGGTGAATTAGATCTCATACCTTAAAGTTTGATGAATATTTGATGGTGAAATCGTTCCTTTACAGCCCAAAAACCTCCCCCTATCTTGTATTCAATGGTGTCTTCCAATAGAGAGAGAAAGAATAAAGAAGGAAGAGAGTTTATTTTGTGAGATATGTTTGGACTAATGAGGGTAGGATATCTTTATATTATGGATTAATTAACTTAATTAAGTTCCCTTACACCCCTAATTAATCACCTAAACCCCTAACTAATTAAAAACCAACTTTAAAATGTGTAGGAAAGTTGCAGGCCCATCTATGAGACCTCGACCGACGGGTCGTTGGTCCATCGACGTCCAGGCCTCCCTTCCGCGCTGCACAGCTGTCGTTTTTGTCAGAGACTATGCAATTGGGGTTCTTCATCAAAAATTCTAAGTGTTGGTCGACAGTTGGCAACGACGTCCCACCGACCCACACATGGATCGTCGACTGTGTCTCATGGTTACACACTGCCCAGGCAGTGTTGACACCAACGTGCAAGGGTCCTCCTCAAAGGCCATTGATTGGTCCTTGGGGAGTCATACCCGTACGTTTCGACCATGAATAATCTTAAACACCTGTTAACTACCCTTCCATCCATATTCATAGATTTTCGATTCCTAAAACTAGTAAATAGTCTAAGGTACGCTAGTACCCCTTAGAACTAGTTTCGGAACGTCACGGACGTTCTTGGACATTTTGGTGCCTAAACTTCCTAAATGACCTATATTCATTAAACTATGTCTTAAAACAGTGGTTAGACCCCACGACACCTATTTTAGGCTTTAAAACTCTTCTGAGATTTTTGAAATATTATAGTTGATAATAAGAAATGAGTGAAGACGCAAATTGGAGATCACCATCACGACACGGAAGATGAATTGAATGTTTGGTTGTGAAACATTTTTTAAGAGGTAGGACTCTCTATACCCTCCACGTCACGGAAAGGGGGGTGACTAACTGAAATATGATATTCTAAAACACCTATGTGATGCGGACATGGGCATTTCCGATAACACCCAGTAAAACTAGTAAGACTAAACTAGGGCATAACATAAATAGACCTATTTGGGGTTTAATATAATGATTAGAGTCATAAAATAACCTCTGGTACTAGGTATAAATGTTTTTGGGTTTAAGATTCAAGGTATGACCCCCTAAGGACCAACCAAGTGTCCTTGAGGAGGATCCTGAGGCAGCCCCAAAAACTTGCCAAAATTGCTTTGACCTATGTATGGGCACCCATGAGTTGTGGGTGGACCTAACGCCCAATAGTTGGGGGTCGTGGATAGAGGCTAGACCTCTCGTGTTTACCCAATAATCTCTGCCCCATCCATGCTCATGAAGGACAGTTTGTGGACCCACCCGCGGTTCATGGGTGGGGGTTTCATGAGTCAAGGCTATAATGGTCGTTTAATTTTTAAGTTGGGAATTAAGGAAGGGGATTAGGGTTAATTAAGTAATTAAGGTCATTTAAATACTAATTAAGACGTATATAAATACTTAATAACCCCTAAACTAAGTCAACTAGTTCATTCTCTCAAGACCTCAAAATAAACTCCTTCCCTCCCAAATATTCTCTCACTAAAACCTCTATTTAAAAATACAAACTTGAAGAGTAGGGCTCAAGAACTCATATTCCCCACTCAAGTGCTTGACTAAATCTTCAATCAAGGTATGGCAGTCTTGATTCATGGATAGCTTTCTTCCATGAAGCCATCAAACTCTCAATTTCAAATTTGGGAATTCTCCAAAACCTAGGGTTTTAAATCTAAGTCGTGAATTCACTCTAAAAATGATTTCAATGTGTCAATTGCTTTATATTATGACCAATTTGATGAATTATCACTATTGTCGTGATACATTATCCAAGAATCTATGAATTTCCCTACTTCCCCTATTTTGTGAAATTGAATCTTAAAGTGTGGTTGATGATTGATATGGGTGAATTATGATTGAATTATGCATGTAGAAGTTAATCTAATTGATGTTTACATCTATATATAAGGAAGTGATACAAGATGTAAATTATGAATTTGTGATCTAGGGTTTTTGGAGGGCTATGAGTGAGAACATATACATGACTATGAGAATTATGCATGTGCTTTATGAATGTTTTGAGAAGTATGTTTCTATGTTATGAAACAATTGTGGTATTATTGAAATGTCATTCTCACATATACCCTTATACATTATCATGTTTTTAAAAGGCGGGGGTGTGAGGCAAGGCTTTTATACAGTGCGGGATGAGGCATAAGCCTCGAGACGCATGCGTAAGTCCCATGGATCTATAGGGCGTAGTCTCATGTATATTCAAATTTATAGTTTTATTACTAATAAAATAAGAAAAATAAACCTTTTAATGATTTATGATTTTTATTTGAGATAAGTATTAATAGTCAATAATGAAGAAAAAAAGTGTTATAACTAATATTCGAGAAATATTATTAAACCAATAATAAAAATATGATTTAAAGCAAAATAAAATAAAAAATAAAAATGCTCAGGCGTAAATTTTTACGCACATGAGTTACGTGTTTATATTTAGGCTTACGCCTCTAATTTTAGGACTTACGCCTTATGGATCAACATTTTTAATTTACGCCCAGGGCATTTTTGGTACGCCCCGTCCCGAAACTCGTCTAAAAACATTGTACATGACTATGCATGCAACGTCTAAGATTATTATAGTCTTGATGTGCTGCATGAAAGGTCATTGTCATGAACACATAATCAACAATATGCGAAAGATTTATTCACATATTAATGATTCTAAGGTGGAAAGGCTAATTCACAGCTATCAAATCTATGTGCTATCATGATACTATGTTGGCTTTGGTGCTAGGAAATCCTACCATGAATAAGAACTTAAGTAAAGTACTAACATGTCATGCTTAGTACAAAGTGGATGAAGTTATGAGATGAAAACTTATACGTCAGTTAGTTTGGATTTACTTTACAGATTCCTTATATATCAGTTAGTTCGGGTTTCCAACACGATTATCTCATGAGATAGAAACGTTATACCTCAGATACTACAGGTTTCTAGAAGCAATATCCCTATTTCTTAACTATGTACCCACATGGGTCTTTATCTAGTTGATCCATTTAAAAGATCATACATGTGGTTCTACCTTAGGCAAGTAGGACACCTCTTTGGTGTGGGGGAAAGATAATGGAGTCCATGTATCTCACATGATCTGTGTCCGTTAAGGCTATTTTTCCCCATATAAGAATTTGAACTATGACAAGAACATGAATATGAACTATCACTATTGACTTCTCAAGGGGCTCTACTTGGTGTGGATGGGGTATGGGACTTCATTCATACATGCCACAAGTGGACTTTGTGACGGGTTGTGGTGTAGTTCTCTTATGCTATTAAGACTTATGATTTATGCATGCTTAATATAAATTGTCACTATGAGTAATTTTCCTTGATATGAGCTTTTGAACATGAATGTTTCCTTATTTCTGAGTATTGACTATGATAGGGTCCAAGTGGGATATGTATGGCTGTGGTGGCCTAAAAGTAATACTCAGTATGAGTGGTATTATGGGATGCCATTCATACATTGAACAAGTATAACTTAGGGTTACTTAAGAAATTGTTTTATTAGGTGATAATGAATTGCAGGATGAATATGTTTATGATTTGTGTCTAACACTAAAGGTGCATAATGATTTTCAAACTCGGTGAATGCATGATTTTCAACTGATATGTCCTTTTTAGTATGTTTTCAATGATTTTATGCATGGCTATCATACTTGGTGCATTTTTGTGCTAACTCATATTTCTTTAACATTTTTCACAAAGTGTAGGCTTTGGCGTTTGAGGTGATATTCCTTATTGTCTAAAGCTTGGATTGATTCTCTCCAAATCTTGTGATGAGTCCTTAAGTGAGAGAGGTGAGCGAGATTCACGGAGAGTGGCGAGCGAGATTCAGGGGAGTGAGGTGAATGACGAAGTGTTTGTTACGAATTAGAATTAAATAAAACTATGGTTGTAACATTTATTTTGCATTAATGGTTCACTATCTTATACATTTTTCCTTAAGAATTATGGACCTAGCCTTTACCCACAATTAAATTAATTATTTAATGAGATAGCCATCAATTAAATAATTTAGTTAAGCTTATAATTTAAAATTTATGGAAAGGGTCTTATGAAAGAGAGAGAACTAGTTCTTAAAATAACCGAACGGGTCATTACAAAAATATTAATGGTAAAATGAGTTTTTCCATAAGAAATTTAATTGAGTGATTTTATAAAGAAAAAATCCTAGGTTGTGTGACTTTTATTGATATAAAACAAATATTAATGCATGAGTTCCCTACAAAATTTCATTGGTAAGTGATATTTTGAGATATTTATACTTTGAAAGTCATAGGACTAATCCCAAACGAAGAGTATCACTAATAATTTGTACTACTACAATATTTCAGTGGTCGTAAATGGGTGTGGGGTGGGTTAATGTCCCAAGGATCAATAAAAGGGCAACTTTCACATATAGCAAACAAAAAATTCATAATTGTATGCTATATCAAAGTTTGCATAATTACGCTCCATAACAAACATAAAAATGTATAGACCGCTATACATATACAATTGTATAATTTGCTGGTCTAAATTGTATAATTCGTTAGCCTAAATTGTATAATTTGCTGGCATATTTAGCTGCAATTGTATAATTGCTTTGCATACAGTTGAATCGAATTAAAATGTATGTATATTGCATATTTATAAGTGTATAGCAAGAAGATATATGTTTTTCTCTCGCTTTATACAAAAACAGAAACACAATGTATACACTTCTGTTGTATAAAGCTAGAGAAAATTGTATTTCACTGCAATTGTATAATTCGCAATTGTATAATTCCTTGGCCTTTTTCTCTGCAATATTTGAAGTAAAATGTTTGTAAATTGTATAATTAAGTGTATAACACAAAGATATATATTTTTGCATGTGCATATACAATTTTCTCTCGCTTTATACAAAATAGAAACAGAATTATACACTTCTGTGTATAAAGCGAGAGAGGCGAGCGAGAATGGAGAGTGGTGAGCGAGATTTTTGGGAGAGAGACGCTGGCAAATATTAGCTAACGTTTACTATGGAGCACAATTAAATCAAACCCTAGCTATTCCATTTATTTTAGGTTATTAGTTTGCTATTACATACAATTTTTCCTTAGTAAAATCAAATGTATTTACCGTAAAAGGTTGCATTAAATTTAACTTTTTAATTTGTAATGCATTTCCAAAAAATAATTAGTCATAGAAATTATAAGTTTTTCTCTAATTTCAACGAACACATTAAAGTATTTTATTTAAGTTTTTAAATTTTGTATTTGGTTATTTTTAATAAATGTTGAAATTTTTATTTCCATTATAGTTATTTATTAAAGCATTAACTAATCAAGTTAATTTTTTTATTATATAAGTTTTATACCAAATTATATGAATATCAATCTAAGTGAAGAATCTATGTATATTTAAAATTGTAAGTATATTAATACAGTTTTTCATTTCAAGTTAAATGATAGATTTCTTTTAAATCTGAGAAAGTGACATTCTTTATTTAGTTATTGTAAAAAAATAAATGATAGATTTCTTTTTATATAAGAAAGCGAAAATTTTGATTTAGTTACTATGAAGAAATTGAATGATTTTGGTACATAATTAATGAACCATTATATTCAAAATGGCTAATACTAATTGATAAATGTTATTTAGTATATTAAATGATTTACCTATTTTCCATTAAATTTACAGATTTATTTATCATAAATCAGAGTTTGACTATCAATTGATTTTAAATTTACTACTATGATTTTTAATATGAAGAAAAGATTACATTAAATTGCAATATTTTGCTTGAAATTTAAATATTATGGTGAGTAAATTTTCAATTTATGTGTATATAAAGTGATGATAATTTGATTTTTTGTAAGTCATATTTTTTTTAAACAATTGATCAATAATCTAGTATGAGTAAGAAAACAGCAGGAAATCAAAAAATTCTATTAGAAAAAATAAAAAAAGAAGTTGATCGATACACCACATTTTCTAAACGTCGTTGTAAGAGATTGTGATGTCCATCTTGGAGTGGTTCTTTCTTCTCCATCTTGTAAACCGTGTTCATTTGTTCATCCAACTCCACATTAATCATATTATAAACCCCACAAAAGATTTAGATCTATGTGCACAAATTGGTGTTGTAAAGGCACGTAACAAGGTAATTCAAACCAACGACACGCCAAATGAATTTGATATAAGAGAAAATGTTGTAAAAGAAAAAAATGTGTTCTATAGAGAAAATGAATAATGCTAGAGTATCACCAGTGGGAGTGCATGGACCAATTAAATGCGCAATAAATAACCAAATTGGAAGCTTTGTTTAATACCACTGAGGATTTCTTAAATATCCAAGTGAAGCAGGCAGAAAAATAGAGTTTTGTCCTCCTTACATTCTCTACCAAAAGGATGGACATAATTGATATTTCTATTTCATAAATATCATCTTTAGATAATATCTTTTATCAAAGCTCTATGCAACTAAATAAAATTTAGGGGTCGTTTGGTACATTATATAAGAGTAATGTAAAATAGGGTGTATTAGTAATTCTTGCACTAATAGTGCTTGCATTAGTTATGCAAGCATTATTTCTTATACATTGTTTGGTTTGATGTAATAGAAATAACAAATATTGAATAATTTCTATTAGAAAATATAGGTTTAGAAGTATACCCTTCACACTTTATTTACTTGTAAACTTCCTTTGCAACAAAGTACTTTGCTAAAACATCAAAAAAAATCTTTGTTAAAACATCATTAACTCTTCTTCTTTCTTTCTTTTTTCAAAAATAATATTAAATAGTTGTACTATTGCATCAAAATCTTTTTGTGAAAAATTGACAAATAATTTTTTTATCAAGATTATCGTCAGAATAGTAAAAAAGATTGATTAAGTTACATTGAAATTAGATTATTTTTTTCAAAGAAAAAAGATACTTAAGAGGCCATAAAGCCAATTAAGACACCATAAAATTAAAATACACCATAAATCAAATTAAAATAAAAATAAAAATTATGACTACAAAGAAAATAAAAAGGCTTTAAGGATAGTTTTGCAATTATTTAATCTAATGCAAGTGTTAAAATGTTGTGTATTACTAATACCTAGAATTCCTTGGTATTAGTGTTACAAGTTAATACGCAATAGAGAGTATAACTAATGTTTGCATTAGTTATAGATGGCATGAGAAAGTGTACCAAACAAGTATTACTAATACATACACCTAATGCATGTATATATATACTAGAGAAAAAGACATAAATACACCATCGAAGTTGTCCCATATTTGCATAAAGACACCTAAACTTTCAAAGTGCCCTATCACCCCACTACACAACTATATATCGTTGTAAATGAGTCATTTTTACCCATTCCCTCGTCTGGATTGTTTACACGCACGTTAGGCGCGTCATGGATCAGTTTTCACTTTCATTGACCAGTTTAAAAGTGTCACATGTCATTTTCTTTCTTTATTATTAATTATTTAATCAATTTATGTCATCTTACCCAATTTAAACCCAAAATAGATGTGGTAGCCCTAATATTTTGATTTTTATAACAAGAACTATGTTGCTTCAGATTTCAAAGGTGTGACACCTGAGTTGATTGACACTCGTTATGCTATTTTAGTTTTGGTTATTCCAAGTGCAAATGATGATTGGAGCCATAATGAGATGGAGATAGTGGAAGTAGTTGCTGATCAGGTGGTTGTGGCCCTATCCCATGCGATTGTTCTTGAAGAGTTAATGAGGGAGAAACTAGAAGCGAGGAACGATTTGCTGCAACAGGCTAAGGAGAATGCTGTGAAGGCAAGCCAGACAAGGTATTCGTTTCAGAAGGTAATGAACAATGGGATGAGACGACCAATGCACTCGATTTTGGGTTTGCTTTCCATACTTCAAGATGAGAACACAAGCACTAATCAGAAGATTATTATCGACACAATTGTGAGAATAAGCACCGTTCTGTTAAACTTAATAAATGATGCAATGGATATACCTAACAAATACGAAGGGAGATTCCCAGTAAAAATGATGCCGTTTCAGTTGCATTCACTTATCAGAGAGGCTTCTTGTCTAGTTAAGTGCTTGTGTGTTTATAAGGGCTTTGGATTTTCCATGGATGTTCCAAGTTCTTTACCTAATCTGGTGATGGGTGATGAGAAGAGAACCTAGTCGACTTTTCTTCAAAAGATAAGGGTCGGGTCGGGTTAATTCTATCCTAGGGAGTGAGCAACACGTGCATGACGTAGACGAGGGAATGGGTAAAAATGACCCATTTACAATGATATATAGTTGTTTAGTGGGGTGATAGGACACTTTTAAAATTTAGGTGTCTTTATGAAAATATGGAACAACTTCGATGGTGTATTTATGTCTTTACACTCTACCAAAATGATCCCTTAGTATTTTGTCTCCTACATCTTAAGTCTCGTAATATTGTAATATGAGTTTGAACAATGCACACTTTAACTCGTCAATTTTTGAGTGTTTTGTAAAATATATTTAAAGCACATCATATCAAAACAGTTATTTTGAAAAATAAAGAAAATTAATATATGTGAATAAAAATCACTCTATGTAAGGACCCGATCCGTTATTACTAAAAGGGCATTTTGCTCAGAGTCCCAAAGGTCCTTAAGTGTGGTACAAATTTTAAATTTGAGAACACGATATTTTTTTTGTCTTCTTAAATTATGAGTCATGTCCATAATGAAGGTTTCTAGCTATAGCAGTACCGCTATAGCATTCTGAGTTTTGTTGTAGTGGGACGTCGAATTTATGCAACCTAATTAATGTGTTGTCTTTCAGTTTCCTCCCACTTTTGAAAGGAGAAAATCGATGAGGACTTCTCCAAAAATATTGCTAAGGCACAGGGTCAAGGGAGTAATGAAGAAAAAGTAGTATCGCGCAAGTAGGTAAAAATCTAAGGATTTCCAATGCTTGCTCATCATAGCTTGCTCCCTCTGAGTAAAATTCATGAGCAAGGTTCATTAGTTATTGCTTAGAAAATAATGATATGTATGAATTATAACTTGGCAAGTAAATTTCCCTTTTTTCTGTTTGAGAGATATACCGAATTCATGAAATAGCTCTTATAGTCCTATTATCGGTTAAATCTAATATCCAACAAAACGGTTATGTTTTTTTAAAAGTTTTTCTTATATTTCTTACTTCAAAGCATTTGATCATATTTCATGATTTCCATGTCATGGTTTCATAATGTCCTTAAATTTTTTAAAAAATGATCATGCCTACATGTTTAAGTCATTCATGCAGTCATGTCTATTTTATGCATATTGCCCCATGATCAGTACATTTCATATAGTAAAATATACTTGTGTCTACATTATCTCGCTAATGTAGGGTCTGACACTTCTATCTCTCACCCCCATGGCTAGGTTTCTCTTCTGGATTCTATGATTTTTGTGAGCCCTCATGTTTCAATGACCAAGATAAATTACTTTTTCATGTCTTTTCTGTAGCTTTTGGATGATGTACGTGGTGCATGGGTTACTTTCCAACCAATTTTTTTAAATGTTCAAATGGCTTATCGAGACTTATGATTAGACTTCCACTTTTTCAAGATCTTTTATGAAATAAAACTATGACTTTGAACTCTTTGAGCTGATATACCCCTCGTTATAAAAGTGGCTCATATATGCCCTTACCGTTATATAAACGGCTCACATATACCCCTGCCGTTACAAAATAGCTCACATATACCCTTTATTTAACGGAAATTAAAAAATTAGTTTTAAATTTATATTTGTTACTTCTAATTTTTTTCAAAAAATTATTTAGTTGTATATATGATTCTTTTATCAAAGTTCAAGGTACATTTTAATTTTTTTCATACATAAATTATTTTTTGACTTCTTTTATTATAATTATTTGAGTTTCTTATTCTTATTTTGTTTTTTCTTTCATTCCTTAGTTTAAAGAAGAAAAAATTAAACTATTTTTTTTTTGTGTATTGTAATTTAATTTCGTATTCGAAGAAAAAATTTGGTCATCTATAATAAGTTTTACAAGAATATTAGTGAAATATAAGTAAATTTGATTATCAAAATAATAATTATAAATTAGCCATTAAAACAAAAAAAAGTCAAAAAAAATGTTTGACAAGGATTAAATTTACTCATATGGGATTATATTTTTTAGAAAAAAATAATAAAAATTTAGATTAAAATTATTATTTTTTTCATATCCGTTAGAGGAAAAGGGTATATGTGGGCCATTTGTTTACAAGTAGGGGTATATATGAGCCACTTTTATAATGAGGGGTATATCAACTCTAAATGACAAAGTTGAGGGGTATATCAGACCTTTTTCCCTTACTTCTATCATCTTGTATAATATATGTTAAGTGGCTTGTGCAGAGACTCTTGGGGTCGTATACAACATGTTTAGTCAAGGGTGTACTTTGGAATTTTAACACCCCATATTCAAAATAGATAAAAATATCCAAAATTTCAGATTTGCACGTGCCAGCAACATAGCCAACTATGGACTATCAGTTGACTCTGTCGATTGCCCAGCTAACTCACAGTTCTCAATTGGAACGATGGTTGACCAGTACAGACCGTCAGTCGACTTATCTTCCGTCAATCAAATCCGTCGATTGACAAGCTAACTTCCAGTTCTCAGTCGCAAACGACGGTCGACCAGTATGGATTGTCAGTTGACTTACAGTTCGTCAGCCAACTCCGTCGATTGATCAGCTTACTTCCAGTTCTCAGTCACGAACGACGGTCGAAAAGTACAAATCGTCACTCGACTTATGATCCGTCAGTTGAATCCATCGATTCGCTAGCTGACTTTCAGATCTCAGTCACAAACGACGGTCGCCTAGTACGGACCGTCCGTCGATTTATGGTTCGTCAGTGATTCCGACAACAGTTAATTCAGTGGTTTTTTGGTCTTCTCCTAGTTCATTAATCCCTAGGATACGTCGTTTAAACCCTAAATCATGAGATTTTAGTTAGTTTAAGCTTAAAAATATAACTAAAACTTAGATAATTTAAATCATTAATCAAAACTTAGAAGCAAGAGATGAGAAAAAGGTCAAGAACCCTAGTTCAAGAATGCAACAAGGTTCCATTAGTTCTAGCCCCGAAATCTAAAGATTTCTCCGTGAATTTCATCACCAGGTATATGGGATTTCACTAGTGGGTTCCTTTCACCCATTGGGTCCCCAGATATCAGTCAGATTCTTGATTCACTTATCATGATTAGATCTAGGGTTTCTAGAACTTTAGTAGATTATCATGAATTAGTTAATTTATATTCCAAATCAGGTTACCATGTTATTACTCAGATTATTGCATTAATTTCAAAACCCTAGCTCTGTATTTCTATAGATCTTGAATTACACATGTTAGACCAGATATTTCAGTTACTTCAGATATACATGCTTCAATTATTAATGCATCATTATCAGAATAATTGTTGCATTCTCAGTTTGCATGTTCAGTTTTGAGCTATCCAGTATTTACAGAAATTCAGTCATAATATGTTAATCACTTAATGCATTGGGAGTAGCATATATCAAGTTGGACTAGGGTTCAGCGTACCCAAATAATCCTAGAACTACTAGCCAAGTAGGTTGTAAATCCCCTCTGTGGGTATCAGTTTAGTGATCACGCCAGCATACCTTTATACCTTTGGCATGGTATATTGGGTCCTCTCGATGGGGCATATACATCGGACTCTACATTTAGCTCATGTGATTTTATTATCGGTTATTAGTAGCTCCCACAATTCAGTCATGCTCTATTGCATCGACCATATTTACAGTTCAGCTAGTATTCAGATGCAGCATGTTATAAATTTGGTCATTACATCCAGTTAGCTTAGAATTCAGTATATCATGTCCAGAATATTATACTTGCTTTTGTGCTTGTTCAGTTATGTTTTAATTCAGGTTTATTTTATCCTACATGCTCATTACCTTCCAAGTACGGACACATATGTGTGCTACATCTTCTCGTGATGTAGGTTAAGGTTCTAAGCATCCAGATCATGCTTAGATCGATTCTCGATCTCCAATTCAGCAGAATCACTGGTGAGTCCTCATTCTCCGAGGACAAAGTCATGAGTCTATTTTCAGTATTTTTAGTCATTTAGTTTTAGTTTCTGCTAGACTTAGCTGGGGCTTGTCCCAACATTTCTAGTCAGTTAGAGGCTATTTTTAAACATAGTTAGTTCTAGCTTAGTATTGAGTTAATAACTTCTTTATATTAGACTCATCACTTTTCAAATATCTCAGTTATAGTATATGGATATTCCCCATCTTTTCATTTTAATTATATTATCTTTAGTATGCTCATTCATGATCATGCCAGCAGCGTTAGTTTGGGATCACTTGTGGTCCTAAGTCCCGTGTCCGTGTCTCGGGGGTAGCTCGGGGCATGCATGTTCTTTACAGATAACTTAGTATCTCATTCCACATTCATGTGAATTATTCAATCACTTGTTTACTTTTAGACATATTATGCACTGCTACCACATTCACTTTAGGAAATGAAGCGATTTCAATGGGGCATGTTTCATGACTGATTTCATCCAATATATATTATTTTACCTTAGTCATTATTATATCATCAATAGTGCATTGAGAGTCAAACACAATGTATTATCTATATAAAGGCTTGTTACGTTATTTATAAATTGATGGGACTTAAATTTAACATCTTTCATCATGGTGCACCTAGACAGAATTATGATATCTTACCCTCCTGGTACGATAAAACTTGAATCCATGGTCTTAGCCTTTTGGTCTGATTAGACATGAATCTATTATCTTACCCTTTTAGTTTAGGTCATAAATCGATGGGACTTGAACCCAAAATTTTATCATGGTAGTGCATCAAGGCTCTAATTCATGTGTGCAAAACTGAGATTGTTGATTTTTTTGTAATCAACATTATTAGTATTAATAGTTATAGCTAAAAAGGATGCATACCTTCTATTCAAATACCTACAAATAATTGGTGATTTTCCGTTAATGTATAGCATAGCAAAGCTAACGATTTCACAAAATCCTTGCAAACATAACAATTTGTACCAGCAAGTGTTTCCACTAAATGCATGTTGTTAAAATATTGAGTCTACAGATATAAATTTGTGGAATTTCTTAACTTCCACTTTCTTCAAGTGTTGTGAGAAGTGAGGTGGAGGCGTGGGGATGGGAGTCAAAATCTTTGGAACCTCCTTTTCCTTCCCCTTATTAACACTACTAGTCTTTTTTTTTTTACATCAGTTGGAGACTTTTAGCTATCTATTGTTTCTCATCAACCTCTGCTCTTTCTTTAGTTGTTATACCCAACACTAAAATCTGCAACAACCTCTCCATTTTTATCAAGCAACAACTGTTTTGGGATGCACATCAACTTAATTTTTACTTCTATAGTGACTATCATGCAATGATTGTCGTTTTCTACAGCATCACTACATAAACTACAAGCCTTTCCTTGATTAGAGATGCAGAAAGTTGCTCCATTTGCTGCTTCAATTGCTTGATGGTAGTGGAGTGAGATAACTAGGTCACATTCGATATATATCACCTCGAAGTCGTTGATCCCAGCATCTGTGCCATCATATCCTCTAATTTAGAGTCACTTGACTTCTGTTGCTCTCTTCCCTTTGGAGTCACATTCATCATGTCTCAATATTTTACCCTGTGAGGTCCTGATTACACTTTTCATCCCTTCAGTGCTTCGAATAAGTTACAACAAACAGTTATATTCACCTTAGTAACTTGGTTCAGCATCACAACTGCAAGTGTGTGTTATAAGAGATCCCCATTCTGTTGTATTAGCTACTGACTTTGTTGTAGAGTTTAACAACCTTTAAAATCAACACCAAATTAAACTTTCTTTCTAGTAGAATGGGCTCATACTCTCTTTCAATCGCCAAAGCTAAAAACAAAGACAAAAGAAAATAAATATACTATGATCCATGAGGCTCAAGCATTGCTCTAGTTTGGGTAGAAATTTTAAATATGGATTCAGAAATAGGTATAACCCAATTTTGAAAGAAAAAATCTAAATTTGACCTTACAGACTAGGCTGGTTTTGCTGTCAACTTTTTTAGACAATTATTGATATGTTAATGTAAGTCATCATTTAACATTATAGAGTGTGTTTCTGCATTGATTGGACTCATTTGACGTTCAAAACCGGTAGAGCTTTCGAAAGACTTAAAAGCTTGGCTCAAGAGTATGCTCTTAATAAGCAATTTGATATGGATTAAGGTAAGGGGCATCATATACATGAGGTTATTTGGGAAGTTATTTCTCAAATTTAACCAATCTTATTTTCTATCTTCAATCTTCCCATATTTTTCTCCCATAGTAATTTTATTGTTTTTTGTTTACTAACCTTATTTCCATCAGTCTGTGTGTACTCTATCTGATGGTACATATATATCTTACAACTTTGCATGTGGTTGTAACTTGTATATAGTTTATAAACTTTGCTACGCTTCACATAGATGAAACTAGCAAAGCTCCCTTTTCAAGATCTACAAAGTTATTTAAACTCGAAATGCATGAGAAGCTTCACAGAACTGTACTTCTCTCCTTTCCGATCATAGAGTGGGACTGCTCGGATACCTTGTCGCAGCTCTGCCACAGGTAGACATGTTTGGCCAGCAAACTCATCCTTGTCGGACAAATTATAATCAAGAACTTTGATACGAAGTAGAGCTAACTCAGGAACGGTTAGTGGAAACTCAAACTGCTCATTCCAGCTTGGTATCCAATTGTCGTCTATCGTCTCTGTTCTCTTCTTTACTTCATCAGCAGGAACTCCAGCAATTCCTAGCTGCACATAGTTTTACGTATTTTATTCATCATCTACCTTTGCAAGAATACGACAAAGAGTATTGAAAGATAACGATAGATGGTAAGTATTATTCATCTACCTTTGCATAGAAATCTGGAGGTGAGTACGTGTCAAAGTCTGTCTGATCGAAGTCTTTGTCCCACCCATCACCCATATATACAGTCACCTGCTTAATGCAGTAAGAGTTGGATCGGTTTCAAGAACAATGGAACCTAAGTTACAATTATGACATCCTACTACGTCAACGAGGATATTACCATCCCTCATTTACCTTTAGTGTAGTTTTGACAGGCAAATTTGCTGTAGGATCGAAGACCTCATTGTCGGGACCAGCTTTCAATAGTAGATCAGGTTTCTTAACATATCCACAGCCACCATTAGCCCTGAACATACCATGCATCAACCAAAGTGATCTTCCATAACCCTGTCGTAGGACACTTACTTAGCACCTATTTCCTTGGAACTTTGATAATTAGTTACTAACAGGTTGCAAATGAATAATACCCGTCAGGTTAAATACATGTTTTAGAGACTAGAGCAAAGCAATTCAAAGGAACGTTACTGAAGAGGTGCAGTCTAATTTGAAGTTTATTCCCATACCCAACAATAGTAAAAGAAACTATCAACCAAGAATCAAATGTTTTCAATTCCAAACTTATAGCATTTAGCTTGGCTCTGGTGATTAAATCAAACAAAACCGTTCACAAGGAAATCTATTTTCATACGAAGCTTAGCTTCTAGTACACAAGTAATAAATGGGGCACATACTAATGGGTGTTGCTCCTCTCCAATTCTCAAGAAATGGTGACATGCTAATTCTTTCACTAAATTTCACCACTCACAATTCCTTTGATATATGGTTAGGATCCAAAGGAACCAACTATTCTAGTATTCAAAACATTGTACTTTTAAAAAAATCCTCAAGTATTAGCTTTTGCGTACAACAGTAAGTTGTTATGTTGAACAAAGAAGAAATAACAATAAAGTCTATTTCTCCCTCCCTCCGAAAGTTCTAGACAATTTAGTTTTTGAGAGATAGATTCTCGGTCTTAAATCTGTAACACAAATTAACCATATTTGCTACTCACTCTGTATCAATTCATGATCAAGTGGCATAATTTGATAGTGTCGTAACATTTGGGTCACAATAAGACTTCTGAAATTTGTGGTTTTAAATATATCATAATATTTGTGTGATTATAAAAGTTTGTCACTAAGGTGAAATTTAAAGTTTAAGTTATATTTTTTACAAATGTAGAAGTTGTCATTCTTTTAGGAACAGACTAAAAAGAAAATGTTGACACTAAAAAAGAAAGTGCATCATATAAATGGGGACAGAAGGACTATGATATTACTATCGCCTATGCTATCAACACAAGACAAAAGGTTGGTTATATAAAAGATAATAGGAATCTTCAAAAGGGTACAAGGCATGTTTGAAATATTATATTCATGTAAAAAATATCAGCAACGAAGAACTAAGAAGAGGATAGCTGAAATGACACAAAAAATTATTCTCTCTAATTAACCTCATGATTACACAATTTTACTTTTCTTTGTACAGGACGGAGAAAGAAGCCTAACCTGCATATTAAATGCTACCATTTGAGCTCCGTGCATCCAACCAACAAAAGGATCATAATTGGACGAGTCAACTCGAATGCCCTTTGGGTATATTCTCAGCAAGTTATGCTGAGTGAACCTACAAAAAACCATCATGGGGATATAGACAATTAATTAATATGTCCTCTTGGGATATGCACAATATGAGTAAATTGCTTAGACAGTTAATTAAAATGTTATCTTTGGAGATGGTCGATTCCTAGTCCAAGGCTTGATATTGTCACTAGTTAAAATGTTGTCCTCAACTTGATAAGTAAGTTAGATTAGACCCTTTCTTGACTTGGTGAGTTTCCTTTTCCAACCTATCCGTTAATGTACTCACATTTGCTTGAAATAGCTTAACATCTTAAAACCTACTTATTCACAATTATTTTTTTGTTAGTGGGTAAAAGTCTCACACTGGTTGGGGAATGGACTGGTTGTCTCCTTATATAGACTTGGGCAATCCTCCCCTCATGACCTATCTTCGGAAGTTGAGTTAAGCTCAGATGTCATATCTTTACGTGGTATTAGAGCCAGGTCCATCCTCGTTTGGGCTTCCTGTCCACGCTCCAGTCGGGTTTGGGCATGAAAGGGGGGTGTTAGAGTGGGTAAAAGTCTCACATTGGTTGGGGAATGGACAGGCGGTCTCCTTACATGAACTTGGCCAATCCTCCCCTCATGAGCTAGCTTTTGGGGTTGAGTTAGGGTCAGGTGTCATATCTTTACAGTTTCGTTTATTGAACTTGTTTGTGAGAGCTCGTTCACATTGCCAATCCCAAGTCTGACTAAAGGAGGAGGGGGCTGCCGAGAGTCAATCGCAAAAAACCTCTCTACCCCATTAAGGTCGGGGTGACATTGCGTACATCTTACCTTCCCCAGACCTCATATGAGATTACACCGGGTTTGTTGTTGTTCTTTTCTTTGCATATGCACAGTTGAAAGTTACATATACATGGTGTAAGAAAATTGTAGAAACCTTCATGTGCATAAACATGGAAACTTGTACACTGTATCAGACACAATAAGACAAGTCAATTCTGCTACAGCCAAATATTTTGAAGAGGCAGATATGTTAAACTCAAACATCTTAATATATTCATGCAAAAAAAGAGAAAAAAGAATAGGAGCAAATGAAATGTAAAGTCAGTGTGTTATTCAACTTCCATTGAGATGTTCTAGCTATACATAACATGTAAAGACCAATCCACCAATGCATAAATAACATCACAGACAACAGAGGAACTTTGTATTCAGTTGATGGATGAATAAAGAGAAATACCTGATAATTTCTTTTGCATGAGTATCTACAGCTTTTTCAAGTTCTGGTTCACTGAGACTAAGCCGTCTTACTTTATTGAGGTCAACCCTCAACCAATCAGATAGTCCTCCTTTCCCCTTTCCAGCATGAATGGCAATTAGGCGCTTGTATTCTGAAGCTGCCTTTTTATCTGACTTTGAATCTTCTTCATCATCTTCATCTTCTTCTTCATCAACGTCATCCTGCTGGAAAACATTGTGCGGTAGGTCAATCAAGGGATTTCGTGAAGAAGTGGACACAATGAATAACTGGATTGAGAAACTAGTAATGCAATTTTCGCACCTCAGCTTCTTTCTTCGTGTCATCTTTTTCCTTAACTTCCTTGGATTTTAAGTATTCTTTTGGTGGCTTAGTTGATATCATCACACGCTTTCTCAGTGACTCCGGAGAAGGAAGCTCCTTCAAACTTTCTGAAGGAGAAAACAGCATCTCTCCAAATGTTTGAGTGATCATCTAGTATGTAGTTAGAAAAGCATTATTATGATCAAAACAGGCGGTAATCTTATCCAGAAAACACACATATACACACCTCAGCTACTTTTTCCTGAAGATCTGGCGTGAGATGATCTTCAAGTGTTATTACAAGAGGATACTCCGATGCACAAAAGGCATGCTCCTTGATAGACCTCAAACATTTGATTAGCGTCACTGGAGCAGTCAGTGTCCTGTGTGAAATTTACTTAACGTCAAAACTGCAATGAGAATGAAAAAGTACAAGCACTATAAAGGGAACTCAATCTGATTATTCACATGTTTAAAAACACCCAAAACCTCATTAAAAGTAACATATAGTGTTAAATAAAGAAATGTTTTAGCTAGTATTCTGCAGTTTTTAAATTCAACCTTGAGGCGAAAGGTATACTTCAAAGAAATTTGAAGCATTAAGATAAGTCAAGAGCTATTACTTTCTGATATTAAATTTCAAAGGATTGTGATAGGTTTGAATTTCGAATACTTGTGGTAAAATAAACCCACTCCTGAATTCGGCAGTGATGACTGACCTAGCAATATAAAATTTTCCTTTGGGCTGTTTTCTAGAACTAGAGATATTTATCCTTTAATAGAGAGAGTCATTTCTCTCTGAATGAAGGCAGCAAGCATTAGCCTCTACCAACTCAGAAAGCTATGTACTAAAAGCTAAGTCTTTTTCCTAAAAGAAGGTCAGCATAATTCCACCAGATCTCTATTACAATAAGGGAAAGCTCATGTTGGTCCTAAAATCATAAATTCACATCTTAGGTTATTCCAGCTTGTTAGAAGGACCTTTAGTTTAATTATCTTGTAAGTCATAAAAGGAAAAAATTTGTCATTTTTCTAGTTCTTAGGAAACCTTAGATCCAGCATGTAATTTTGAATGTTTTCCTTGACATTTGTTCTAACTGCTTTATATTAGAACTCTTATGGAGTAATAATCATGAAGACATTTTCAGGCTATTTCTTAGATGGGAAATGCATTCAGGATCATCCTGTAATCACTGCATTTGGATTGTGCAATGTGACAAAAATGAAATTGTTCTAGTAACACTTTGCTTCACCACCAATCTACATCCCCGATCTCCTCTTGCCTGCTTGTTGACATAGTAGCCCCTTTTCGCCTTCCCAACTGTCTTATACGGGCAAGGATACAAGATGATGCCAAATATCGGCCATGCAAGCAGACATTAATAAACATATTTTTTCTCACATCAGATTGAATATGATCCTCACTAGATTGCTTTCACCTTTTAACTCAGATGTAAGCATGATATCAGCTTTTCCTTGTCATAATCTGTTCGTTGGGTAGCTCCATGGCCATTGCATCTCCAACTAATCTATTCAACAGTAATATCAACTACTGACTGCTGATTATCTGGTCAACACAAGCCCAGCAGGTTCAGTTTGGTTGATTGGCTTCATAAAACAACTGCAGGTCCCTTTTTCCTCAGACATGGCATGCTCTAAAATAGTGCCAACAACATGGTTTTTTAGGCACTATCAGTTAATTAGATGTATGAACTGCCTCATCTAAAAGTTAAACTATACTTAGAGAGAGAGACACTTCCATTTTAATTAAATATTCTTAAAACATCCCACCTGAAATGATTTCCTCAAACTTCATCTAATTATTTTGTGGTAAAATTTAGTACCATAGTAAATAACAATCTGGATATGTTGTGATGTGTGAAAAAGAAGCTCATTAACAAAAGCAACAAGACAGCTAAAGCACGACTGTATAAAACAACTAGAGTAACCTTTGAAAAGCTTTAGCACACTCATAATATGGATTTAGTAAGTGGAAGTTGTCCACTCACTTGTCAGCTTATAGTCTTAATTCTTGGTCTTAATCAGTTAGTGTTGTTGGTTTAGTGCTTTGTATACATGTAGAAATGCATAGCATGTCTATATAATATGAGTGAAGATATGCATGTACATTATGTGCAAATGCATAAGCTTATTTACTGAGATTAAATTTTAAGTGCAAATGAAAGCAAAGGTGCTGCAAAATTTTAGAGTCTGGCTCAGTAAAAAATATAGAAGGCTAAGGGTGATAGAAAAAAATTAGAACATGACACACCTTCCATGTAGAACTTCTATATCATCTTTGTCTGAATTTGGCCAAATATCTAATTCAATTACTCTAACACTTCTCTGAAGAGCTTGTATTATGGGAACATCACTGCAATCACTACTCAGTTGATTCCCAGTTAAATATGAATTATGGCCTGTGTATATGTAGTAATGAGACAGAGGTGCAGTCATATCATGGTGAATCTGGAATCCAAAGAAGAGTACATCATGAGTTTTATCCAAATAGAGTGGTGTTTCAACATCTAAAATAAAGTAATATACTCCCTCTGTTTAAAAAATATTTTTCTTTTTAGTCTGTTTAACAACGTTTTAAATTCTACTTTCCAGATAGCATATTTAACGCCATGAAATTAAATGACATTTTAATAAGTTTGACATAACTTCAGTTTACCATTACAATTTTTTTTAAATTTCGTATCAAGTCAAATTATATCATACATTTTCCTAATATAAATCATTTTTATATAGTAAGTGGGAAGGATTTGGTTGATCACAAAGTCAAACAATTTGTAAAGAAAGTCACTGTTGATGAAATTAAAATTAGTACCCCAAGTTTAGGATCGAGAGGAGGATTAACATCAGAAAAGAGAAACTTGAAGAAGCCATCGAGCTGGAGGCCTTTCTGCTTGGAGTCGCCGCCGTGATTATTGATAATGGCTTCTGCGTTCTCTAAGCTAACATTTTTCTCCTTCTGGATCTCAATTAAGAAACTATGAAGATTCTGGACGCTCATAACTCCGCTGTCGTCGGAATAACGTTTAAATAGGCTCTTAATGTCCGCCGGAGCTTCCGCGGCAGCCATGGTGAACTGCCGCCGGAAAAAAAATCCGACTTTGTACGTTTGTTTCGACATTGTCACCCTAACGGAAAACGATTTCGTTTTTGCTCAGGCAGGATCCGATCGTCGTGTTAACAAATTTACACTTTTTCGTTATGCGTTGAGTAGTACTCTTTTATATTACTAAAAGAAAAAATGTGCTGTTAAACAAAATGAATTGGGTTAAGTATAGGCTATAGGCAACCATTCAACATTTAACAAATAGTACAGAATTGTATTTTTTGCCATCTGTTTAATAAAATTTCAAAGGAGATTAATTATGGTAGGGCCACAAGGCTAGTCTGATGTTTTAGTCGGCTTATCCGATTTACTGATTGAGACATTTTAAACATGGAGTTTCTCTGCTTCTTCCTTTTTGGTCTAATGTAACGTGTGAAAGTGAAACTACATGATTTGAAGTCGGTATATTATAAAATTAAAATATCATATGTAACTAACGTTGTTTGAATTTCATAACAAAGGTTATAAGTAAATACATCAACTTGCTATACAAACAAATAAAATAAAGGCCTTGAAACATACGGTTGAAGTTGTTCAACTATGCCTTTTTATATAGCCATAATACATATATTAAACCCTAAATTTGGCTTTAAATTATTTTTGCCAATTTTTGTTAAACTTAATGAATGTCAAATGATTCATTTAAAATGAATGTCGATTTTTTCTTTAAAGCTAATCTTTGTAATACATGCAAGAATTAGTGTGAAATGATTTATCTGAAACATTTCATCCTCTGCAAAAGAATTTTCGCAAGTATTCTCATTGGTTTGAGAGTTTGTCTTCTTTCTATATTGAATATGCCAATGAATAGATCAAATCCTCTTTCTGCCTTTTGAGTTAAAAAATTAAAGTAGATCAACTTTCAACTAAAAGAATTCATAGTTGAATGGTTTTTCAGTTTTAAAAAAAAACAAAAATTTAGTGACTCTATAAAAAGATTGAATGACCATCTGAGATTATCTCGAGTAAATCCGTCATTTTGGTACATGAATATTTATACAAATTGAAGCATGTGTATATAGGAAAGTAACTTTGGAGTTCAAAGAAATTGAAATCGCATGAGAAGTCTAACAGATTTCATCTTATGACCCTTCTTATCATACAGAGGGACTGATCGGATCCCTGTTCTCAACTCTGAGACAGGCAAACATGTTTGTCCACCAAAATCATCCTTCTCCGACATGTCATATTCTCGTACTTCAATTCGAAGCAAAGCCAGCTCTGGTACTGTCAATGGAAAATTAAACTCTTCATCCCATACGGGACACCAGTCATCCTCCAGTATCCTTGTCTTTTTCTTACGACTATCTGCAGGAACTCCAACTAAATATAGCTGCGACATAAGGATCAATAGAGTTATAATAAGTTCCTGCAGCCTCTTGGAGTATAAAGCAGAACATCAATGACCATACAAATATGTAAAGTAAAAAGGCAAGGACACACCAAACAAGAAACATAACACCTTAATTATGAGCTCAGGACAGGGTCAAAGCTACGAATGTGTTAATTCAGGTAAGCAAATGAGTCGTGGAAGAGGGAACAGTCACTGTCACTAACCTTTGTGTAGAAGTCTGGTGGTGAATAGGCATCAAAATGTGTGTGGCTGAAATCCAAGCGCCACCCATCTCCCATATATACTCTAACCTGCAGAATTATTTTTTTTTTTTTAAAAAGAATTATACTTCTTAACCAATACCTTCATATTTAGTGACTTAAAATTTTGTAAGCTCTCCACATGAAAACAGATTTTGCTTACCTGTAAAGTTTGCTTCACTGGCAATTTTACTTTAGGATCAAATACCTCATTGTTTGGGCCTTTATCCATGAGAAATTGAGGTTTTTTCACATAGCCACAGCTTCCATTAGACCTAAACATCCCGTGCATCATCCAAAGTGACTTCCCATATCCCTATTTATACAGTTAGCAATTAGACAGCAGGTATGGAACCAAATTGATTAGAACGATAAAATCGGGAGACAAAATAGTTGAATTATCTATTAAATCATACTCATTGCCAACACATTTAAGAAGAGGAGTTTCTTAGGGACATAAAGAACTGCAGAAGCAATCGGCAACAATGAGATGTAAGGCATGGATGCCCTTGAATGTTAAGTTAGTCAAGCAAGCTCAAGCTGCAGAGCTGATACAGTATCTTACATGCTAGTTTGCATTTTGATTGATATATATCAGCCTGTACAAGACCTTCCAACAAACACTACATACTAATCATGATGTTAATGCACATAACTACGGATGCACCAGCATTCAGAAGTTCAAACTAACCTGCATGTTGAATGCTACCATCTGAGCTCCATGCATCCAGCCAGTCATAGGCTTGAAATTTGAGGAGGTCACTCTTGTTCCCTTGGGGTACACCCTTAGAATATTTTTCTGTGTGAACCTAGCAAATGAAAGAACGAAGAGGAAACTCAGTCAAGAAGAGCTAGAGCATTCTCCTCAATCATTCCATTTTATATGCACAAAATTGTGGAGTACCTAACCAAATCAGTTCCATAATATTCTGCAGCTCTTACAACTTCTTGTTCACTCAAACTAAGTCGACTGACTTTATTACTTTCCTCTCTTAGTGCACGTTTCAAACCATGTTTTGCCTTCCCAGCGTGAACTGCTATCAGACTCTTGTACTTAGGTGCTTCTGGTTGGGATGATTGCTGATCGTTGGAGGTGGAGGTATCACCGTCTTCATCATCTTGATCACTGTCACTCTAGTGTCCAGATAAGAAAAAGGGCACATAAAAGTAGATCAGCATCTCACAATAAGAAAATCAAGAGACCATTTAATGTCATTTTACCCTTTCATCAGTGTCATGATCCTCGGCACCAATTTCTGATTTCTCCTTCTTCAAAAGGTCCTCTCTAAATGAATCTTTTCCCACTGGAGATGTATCTCTCTGATTCTTTGACTCAAGGTACTCTTTGGGTGGTTTTGTAGAAAGAATAATGCGATTCTTAAGCTCTTCAGGTGAAGGAAATTCATCTAAGCATTCCGATTGAGGATAATATAACATTTCTCCAAAGATTTGGATAACCATCTAGAGATACAAAGGAGTTAAAACTAGATTAAATAGGAACATGAAATATTTCTGGCAGTTATCCACAACAATATATGAATTCTCACCTCTGCAACTTTAGCTTGAAGATCTGGTGTCAGGTGGTCTTCCAATGTGATTATGACAGGATAAGGGGATTTAAAAAAAGCGTGGTCTCTAATGGCCTTTAAGCATTTAAGAAGTGGAACTGGTGTAGTCAGGGTCCTGCAAATGATTAGAACTGGAATCATTCAACAAAGTTAATTAATCAACCAGTCAATCTTTAGGAACTTTAGACACTGGACATCAGAGAGCATAAGAAATGCTTAGTTACTTTGAACAATACGTTCGATAACACAGATTTATTGAATAAGAAATACTACTTAAGATTGATAATCGAAGACTGAAGAGACGCTACTTCTTCCCTTTGTATTTAAGTTGCTATAATGTTAAACAGTGCTAGAATGTGGAGCATATTAATTGTACCTTCCATGAAGAACATGAATATTATCTTTCCCTGAGTTTGGCCATAAATCAAGTTCTATTCCGCGGACACCTCTTTCTAGAGCCTTAACTATAGGAATTTCACTACAATCGCTGCTGAGTTGATTTCCAGTTAGGTAGGAATTGTGACCTGTATAGATGAAATAATGTTGCAATGGAGCAGTCATGTCATGGTGCACCTGGAACGACGATGACGAACAAATTAAATAAATTAACCATTGAGAATGACATAGAACAATAAAAAAAGAGGAAGAAGAACCTGAGATTTGATTGCTCCATTGAGATCATCCTGAAAAAGATAAAAAAAGAAATCATCGAGTTCAAGTGAATGGTTAAGGCGTCTGATGAGATGGTGCCTCCGGCTAGCAACATTCTGTATAATTTGCTCCGCATCCTTAATAGTGCATTCTTCTTCTCCTTGTACCTCCACCAGATACCGAAAAAGTTGATCCGCATTCATCTGGTTAGCTTTACCGGTGTACCGGAAAAACGCATTCCTCACATCCGGCGGTGGCTCCCTCTCCCTGATCTTAAATTTACGGTTGAAACACCCAAACATTCTGTAATAATTGTAACTACTCCCCATTTCTAGAGAGAGAAAAGTGTTAGGTTGATCTAAATCTAAAAATGGTGAGATGAAATGAATGAGATTTATTATTGAACAAGTCGTATACTGTTATGTTTAAATTAAATATGTCAATCTCACATCTTTCACTGCGTACCGTGAGAGTCGAATAATTCCCGCTCGTCTTTCTTTTTAATTAAAGCACTTTTCAGATGCTTATATAAAACGAATAAGCAAAAAAATTAGGTGATCAAATTTTGTATTCAACTAATGGAATCCTCGCTTTCTTTTTTTTTTTTTCCTTTTTCTTTTTTTAAGCTCTATTTGTTTTTATTTGTTGATGCTATTCCCTATTGTGGCCTATTAAGAAAAGAGCATTCACGCATAAAATCTAATTATATTTTCACTATTATGTTTTGTGATAATTTTATTAATAATGTAATTTATCTCTTAAAAATATAAAATGTACGAAAAAAATCAGATAATTATTTTGAATATTAAACAATTTAATTATTTTGAATAATGAAAAATATTGGAAAAGTTCACCTAATACTCTCTACGTCCCATTTTATGTGGCACCATTTGACCCGATACGGAGTTTAAGAAATAAATGAATACTTTGAATTGTTTATCAAATTGTCCTTCAAAATTAGACTCATTTTTCTATCTCCTCATAAATTAGAGTATTATTTAAAATTAAGTAGGATTAGCAAGAGTAAAAGAGGAATTGTACCGTTAAATATTTACCAAATAAAAAAATATAACATCCTTTTTGGGACTGACAAAAAAAAAATAGTATCACATAAAATGTAAAGTAGGAGTAGTTAATATGAAATAGTGGGAATATATTATTTTATTACGCAACAAGAAGTCAACATGTCTCTTTTGGAATGGGTCAAAATGACCCATTTATAAAGAAATTAAATAGATTTGTGAGTAATAGCACACTTTGAAATTAAGGTGTCTTTATGCATTTATATAAGTACTGGACAACTTTGATGGTGTCTTTATGTCTATAATAGATCTATCCAATTCATCAACTTTATTTCTCTACAATATATATATATATAAATTA